CCTTTACACAGCAGGTAGAATGAAGACATGCGTGTTTCGCGTGTCTGTTTGAATGAACTCATCTCTCACTGTATGTGTTGGAGGTGCAGGGACGCTGGTCTCGGATGAGACGGCCGACAGGAAACAAGGAGATCACATGTCTTAAGTACGACTGCAGAAGCAGGGCAGCGGCACAGCGAGACTCTTTTGTTTCAAGATAATGCACAGTAAAATCCTTAATGTATTATATAACAAATGGAAGTCATTTTTCATGACGGGCATATCTTTTGACCATTAGAATCATGTCAACATCATTTTATTTTACAGACTCATAGGGGAACAGTCTTGTAAAGAATATCTGTCCTGTCTGTTTATGTGTCTGTTTCTTACCTTCTCCACAAACCATCCTGCTGAGGAGCCTTTGTTATTATGTCCAATGGTGATCTTTCTAATTTTGCCCAAGTTCGGTGCATCGATGGTGAATTTGTCCTCTGTGCCCTTTTCAAAGTTATTTTTGTCGTTGTCAAGTCGCCTCTCCCCTAAAATAGAATCAATGAATAAATAAATAAATTATAACAACAGTTTCATTTATTCATTATAGTTTCATTAAAGTGCTTCTCTTTGGGTCAACCTTAAGTGACCAGATATGCTGCACGTGTTACCTGTATCTCCAAACTCCCCAAAGATGTTAATAAAGACATCTGCATCTGTGCCACTGCCTTTTACATCTGCAGTGAAAACACTCACAACAAATTTATTATCTGGAAAATTAAGAAAAAGTACAAAAAAGTCACAATTTTTGCAGAGTTTAAAGACAAACCTGATATATAAACTTCTTAAAAACATGTCAGCTGCTAATGCCGACTAGGTACTTAGAGGGTTTTATCTATGCATACATACATTTGGGTATGTCCATGGGGTCTATGCTGCCCAGCAGGTCTCTGATATAAAGGCCATCTCCTTCTATCTTACTGAGCCAGTTATTACAAGCAAAATAGAACCTCAGATGAGGTCGAATCACATCCGTTACCACGACTCTGTCCAAGAACCAGCTGGGATTAAGGCCAGTGTTGTCATGCTCAATCCTGGAGAAACAGAAACATGTGGATAAATTACACGTTCCTGGTCAAAAAAAAAAATGGTTAAGGGTGTTCAAAATATCTCATGTCTAACAAACCGTATCTTTTTCAAGGATCCAACATTGTGAGTTCTAATTCTGAACACATCTGTTTTGGCCCTTTCGAATGCTGTGCAACTCCTGAAATACCAAAAAAGGTTAAAATTCAGAAGTCACCTGAACTTCATCCTCTTTTGACACATCATACTATTCAGTAAAAAATAAATACAAACTAATCAGAAGTAAAAGTGTAAATCTAGGAAAATAATTACCAAAGTCATGCAAACTTTGAAAAAATCATGCAGGAAATGGTGCCACCAAAAACCACAGCACAATCTGATGGCTAAGCTGTCACAGCAATTTTTTAACACAACAATAAATACATACTTCTTTTCTGTGCTGTGAAAGAGGAGGAAAGACATCGTTTTAGTTTATATAGAAAATAAATACTGAAATGACATAGGGTTTATTTTGAACTGGAGGCTCTTAGAGTGATCACTCTTTGCTGTTTATTTAACCAGGTCATTTCATCTTTATTACACTTGCAGGCAAGCTTATATCTAAACTCCACTAATCTTTAAAGCTGACTTACTTGCTAGCCAGGTGGACTTTGGGTGTGATGCCATACTCTCCAAAAAGAGTAATAAACACATTGGCATCAGTGCCTGCTCCTCTCTCATCACCAGTGATGGCAACCACCTCGTACACTACAGGGTTCAAAAAGAAGAGAACAATAAAACCAAGTAACGTGTGAAGATGCATTAAGGTATTGTGTTAAGCATAAATACATACATACTAGGTGACAGTGTGCATTTGAGTTTTAGTACTTCTGGCCTTCTGAAACTTATCGTAAGCTTAATTTATTCAAACCCACACAGATGTTTCCAGTTATGTTTTCAGATAAGACAATAGGTTGCCAAATTTAATGCACTAATTCAAAAGTTTCTCACAGATACTTTGAATCTTAAATATTTTATATAGGATAGTCACTGTATCCAATTAGATGATTATGAAGCAATAAGTACAAGTAAGTGCTTTGAACTGGTCAAAAAGAAATGTCATACTGGGCAAGTAAGCCAAGAATGATACTAGTGGCCACATGTCTGACCGTTAGGCTATGACTTGTTGAGATGTGTCCGTTTTTTGGACTAGTCATGAGGCACCCTAGATGGAGTTATCCACTGTGACACAATATCCAAGATAAAACATACAAATCTTATGATTATTGCTTATTTTCCTCTCAAAGTTGTCCATCATTTTGGTTGGTTGTCATTGGAACCAGGCATAATGAAGGTCTATTCAAGTGATGTGTTTATCTGAGGAAGTTGAAGGTGTTTTAAATCTAGATTTTCATTTCTTATATTTACTAATAGAATTGTTGGGGAGGGCTTGAGCTAATCCTTAGACACGGAACGAGCAGGTTACTCTACGTTCTCACATCCACACCTTCAGCCAGTTCAGGATCACCAATTAACCCAACAAGCATGTCTTTGAACTGTGGGAGGAAACAGGAGCACCCAGAGGACAGGCACAACTAAGAGCTGCTATCATGACATGTAACTGGTTAACCTGAGTTTTACTTAGATTATGAAAAAATATTTAATGATGAAAAAACACACAAGTCGAATACATGACAAGATTTAAGCTTAATTGTTCTTCAAATGACTTTTAATTCCACTCCACTACATCTAAATTAAATTGCTAAAACTAAACAAATCTCAAATATATATCTTTATATTTCTTACTTCTTGAAACAACAAGATTTATTTATATAATTAAATACTTTAAAGATAAACCTAAAATCCATCCATCCATTTTCTTTCACTTCTTTTGCTTGAATGTGAGTGTGAATAGCCGTCTAAACACTAAAATAAAGTGCTAACATTTAAAGTTTACAATATTGTGGTGCATGTCATTGTGTTTCTTTGTTTTTGTAAGATGATGTTTCTTTTTGTTAAGTTCAGTGTGACTTTGCTTTGGGTTGTTGTGGACTGGGATGGACGTGAAACCACCCCATGTAAAGATTAACGACATTATGTTCACTACGCCACTATGTTCATCCGCCTCATGAACATTAAACTAAGGCAGTGACACTGCTAGAGACAGTGAGACTCCTGAAACTGCAAAGATCCACCTGTCCTCTGGGTGTCGAATAACTTTCCTGAAGCAGAACTGACATTATATTGTCCTTGATTCTCCTGAATATACATATTTGGCACCTGCTGCTCCCTCATCTTGAATTCTGCATTTTACAAGTGATGAAAAAAAAGTTCACCTTTCTTTTTGTGATACTCATCCTCGTAGTTCTCCACTTTTTCTGGCTCGTAGGTACGAAGCTCTTTCTCATAGATTTCAACATAATTTTCAATCTTCTTCTTCTTGCCTTTTGTCTTCTTGGTGTCTTCATCACTGTCTCCCTTTACTGAACCTTTCTTCTTCTTGTCTTTCTTTTTCTTTTTCCCTTCCTCTTCTTCAGGGTCCTCCTCTTTCTTGGATTTTTTGTCCTTTGATCCCATCTTTGACTGAAGACTTCTTCTTTGTGGTTTCAATCACATCAGGAAACTATTCTCCTCTCGTGCTACCCTTGGTTCTGCTGTCATTAACTTCATTATTGCTGCTGAATACTCTTTTGTCTTCTTAACCTGATTTTCCTTTTTTTTTTTCTAGATGCTCCTCATATCAGACCCTGATTAGTCAGAATTACATCCTGCTTCATCCTTGTCCTTCTTCTTCTTCAGTCTCCTTTGACTCACTCAACTACTCATCTGGTGAAAAACCTGTTAGGTTTCCTCCACTGCTCTCTGACTTCTTTTTTCTTTTTTGTAGACATCTTAATTTATTTAATACCTTGTAACCGTAGCCAATTCCTGTGGCTGAAACTTGATTAAACTGACCCGCGACAGCACAGGATTGACCCACTGCGAGGACAAGTCTGACTCAGAGTTTACATAGTTTCTTAGTAGGTGGCTGGGGATGATCCTCTTTATTCATGACCTCATGAGAAATGATGAAGTAACCTGAGCAGAGCATAGGGCAGGTTCCCTCCCAGAATGGAGACCTGCTAGAAAAGCAAGTAAATAAATGAAATGACTGATACATGTTAAACATGTGTCAGGATCCACTAACCCTGTGAGTATTACATGACTGGTATTATATTACAGGCTGTTATTAAAATATAAACAACATGTTATGGTTATGTATTATTCAACAGTAAAACAGATGTTGACTGTTCTATTCAAATGTTTTTTGCATGTGCAGGTTTCCTTTTTAGCATCCAGATTCTGTTTTCTCTTTATGCTCTAAAACAGTAAAACAAAATACGAACAGAGTATTTTTAATTAATTTTTAAATTAATTTTTAATTAAGGATACTTTGTTTTATTATATTATCAACTAACTGCTGAACATTACACAAATTATTGAGTTTGTTAGACAATCATAGTTCTTTGTACAAACCTTAAAATAACAGGCTTAATCAGTTGTTTTAGCTAATGTTGGTTTCTCTAATATGTGCAAGTTATTGATATATTTGACATGCAAACATCCTAAACTTTTAAATATCCTGCCAAATTCAGACTTCATATAATCGAGTGGAAAGTAATTCTTTCTCTCTAAAGTGTAACGTATTAGAAGTAACATGTAGTAATAGAAACATCCTAAGCTAATGTAGGCCATTAAAAAAATTTGTTTTAAATTGATATTAAAAACAGATACTGCAATGGGGGGAAAAAAAACTGTTTTTGTAGCATATGGGCCATCTGACCTCAGGAATTAGCATGATAATGTGGGGCCAGGTTTCACAATGAGCTCACCCGAAACCCTGGCTGATTGGGACCCACACCCAGTTTCACACCTTGGCTCAGGCGATTAGAGGATCATCAGGGGGTCCTTTTGTCCCTCTGTGGGGGGATACTCCCACTAGGTTTGAAACTGGGACTCCCCACGATTTGACCTTAAAACTGAAGAAGCTTCTCGGATGAGAGGTGAAACGTCTTCAAGCAACTTAAAGAAGTCCAGACGCTTTTCTTTGCAAGCTCCTTTGACTTTTGTACGTGTAGTTTTAACTGCAACCAGCAGAGGGAGATACTTACGCTTGGATCGGCTCAAAGTGTGCTTTTTGTGTTTGCACTCAGCAGAGGATGACCATTGCTTTTGTCATCCAGACTGACTTATCAAAAGGAGCTTATCGCAGCTGGTTTTAATAAATTAAGAAACAGTGATACAGTTAAAATCACAATGTGCTTCAAACTGCTTGTAATAAGTAAAACAATATCTGTAATGAAATTTAATTTTAAACAAACTGAAAAAAAATCTGTTCACTGCAACATAAGCAGTTAAAATAAAAGAAGCTTCATCTTGTATTCCTTTTCTGTCTGGGCAAATGTTTTTTCTCCATTTTCAGCAATGTTTCCTTTGGCTGTACAGCAGACATATTCCCTTACACGATGGGCTCAGCCACAATGAAAGCTCTTCCTCTTCCTTGTCCTCATCTTCCTCCTTCTGTTTCCCCCCGCCTTCTTCCCCCAACATCTCATTCTCTTTATGCAGTTCTGATTCTTTTCAAAATAGTTAAACTCACTCAAAGTACCTAAATGTTAATGTTTGCATCTGTGAAACAGGCACATTAGCGTTTCATTGCAGCAGTTACGTTGTAACTTACGATCACGGCCTTATTTAAATGGTTTCACAGTCTGTGATTTGTGCCACTGAATGTGTCTAATTTTACAGCTAATGTTCAATTTGCTCACCTAATTTTCCTCATTAGTTGATGACTATGCAATCACAGCTTACACACACAAAAAATAACAGTTAAACTGTTTCTGCAGATGTATGTTGTCACTTCAGTGGCTAGACTATAACATTAGTTTGTTGAGACAGCTGTTTAATGACTGAATAAACACCAGTAAAATAAACAAAATGCACGTTAAAAGAGAAGAGAGATATTTGAGACCCACTCCCTCGCTGTGTAGTCTCTCAGTTGGAAAGCTGTTGGGTAAGGAGGCTGTTTATAAGATCCATATCAGTGAAGGATCCAGGAAAAGGAGTTCACGATGACAGTCCTGACAACCTTAACAAGCTCACTGCAGTAAATCAATACAGATTTCTTTTGAATTCATTGAGAGAGGAAGAAGTTTACGCTACAGAGGAGCAGATCAGCTGCCATCTGTGTCCACAGGGGCCAAATACTGGACATCAAACTCAGCATTTATCTGAAATGTCTTTGAACATAGATTAAAAGAGTTTGAGAGCTTAGTACAGCAGTCAGCCAATTACTGTTGCTGCTTGTTCACTGAAGTCAACTAAAGGTCACTCATATTATAGTTGTTCTTGTTCAAGAAGCTGTCGGTTGGCTTATCCAGACAGAGGATGTGTGGATGTGTATGTGTAGGTGAGGAAGGTTGTCTGTCTCTCTGTGTTAGCCCTGTGATGGACTGGCAACTTTCAGAGTGTACTCTGCATCTTGTCCAGTGTCAGCTGGGATAGGCTCCAGATACTCTGGGATGCTATTTTGATTCAATGAGCAAGACTCCCCTTATAAGGAAATTCACTTTACCTTGTTGTCAAACTTCATACAAAATGTGAGGCAACATTAATATCATTGGGGGTTTAAAGAAAAGTGACATTATTCAGCAAATTAATAGAAAATCTCAGGTGTGGAGCAAAAAACCCCATAATAAGTAAATAACTACTGATTTAAAACAATATGATTTTAGTAAAATCCATTCGCCCTAAGCAAGGGGATAAAAAGAGTCAGCCATGAATGCACCCCCAGACATGGAGATTTGACCATGTCATGACCGGTAGGAAAATCCTGTAATCTACTGCTCAACATCAACAAAAATAAGGGAATAGTTGCTGACATTAGGAAAAAATGTGACAAAGACAAACTGTTTGCATCAGATGAGCTGAGGCAGACCTGAGGTGGAGCAGAAGAAAAGCTTTATGTTCTTGAGAATCCATATCCAAGAGAATCTGCTGCGGTCATCCTCGGGTAAGAAAACTCAGAAATGACTTTACTTCTTAATTAAATGTAGGCTTGGTCCTATAATCTTTGAAGTTCTTCCTAAACTTAAAGAGGAGCAATTGAAAGCATCTCAACTGTGATGTGCACACCGCAGGAAGGGGTCACCAAACTAACAAGCTTTGGTTATATCTGTGAGGTGAGGTGTGCAGAGTGGAGCCTCCAATCGGGCACTTTTTAAAAATGTATTTAGTATTCTTTAGTTAGTAGCAAAATGGAGCTATATATAGTGGGAAAAAAGCATTTTGTTATGTAGTAAAAAAACAATTAAGGTGTGCAATTTATGCTTGTTTAAATATTTCCTTAATCATTCCAGTGTTTGAACTGGCATTTAAATGATTAAAATCCTGAAAATGCAATTTTTGATCGTTCTGATATGGACTCAAGTTGATTAACTGGTTTATAAAAAGCAGCAAAACAAAAACCAAAAAACAATTGTTATATGAGGATTTTATGGCAGATTTTTTGTGTGTACATTTTTGTCCACAAAGCTGTCAAAAGAGTGTAAAATTTGAGGAGGGCACAAGGGTTAAGGATTCCACAGAAGTTTTATGATGAATATTTGTGACTTTTTTATTATTTTATAAGTGATTAAAACTGTCTTATTGATCTTACTTAATTTTAAGTGGTTGCCATTTGTGTCACGCAGGTTGCTACTTAAGAAAACAGCTTAATCTATTTAAACGATTTAGAGTCTATGAACCCAAGAATCACAAGAGTCTGTGATATCCTTGACATTTGTGTCTTTAAAAGATGAAGGTAGTTAAAAAAGCAAACAGAGCATCTTTCCTCTCTGCACATCCACGACACCCTGATTCATTATCAGCTTTTGGAAATGAACTGATTGACTCTGATTTATTTTAGAGATATAAACATCAAGAAGAAATGTAAACTCTTGTGGGAGTCTGAAATGCCTCCTGCATGTGATGTTGACTTCAGATCCTTTCGTAGCCTGCAGATTATAAGCTTAATTGGTTTCCCAAACTTCAAATGTTTATTTTCTATCCCATCCAGAAGGAGCTTTGTGATAACATAGCCGTGGCTTCGCGACACAGAAGACACTCCGCAAAGTCATTCAAAACAAACACACTGGAGGGTTTGTGGGTTCACGCGGGATGCTCAGGAGGAAATGGAGAGGAAATCGACTTCCACAGAAGGATACGTGAGGAACACAGCACTGTCATGTTGCTCGGCCAGCTACCTCAGTCCATGACTGTGGTCATGTTATGTTGTGACAGGGGGATCAGATCGTGGTGAAACCTAAACACTGATTTATTTGACAAGGACAAGGTGATTGGTTCGTTCTCAGAGCAACTTGTTTGTGTGGCGGTTATGCAACAGGGAAAGAGATCAGGGCTTGTGCTGATAGTATTATGACTGGGGCCAACAGGTGGCATAAGGAGAGATGAGAGTGAAAACCAAAGTTAAAGGTGTCATGTTGGCAAGCAGGCTGGAAAGCCCTTTTGTGCTCAGGAGGGTACAAAACAACACTGTGTAATGGTAAAGCTCCTAAAACATCACAATCACATGACGGCATGCTTTCATGGAAATTTAAAGGCAATCAGTGGTGCTACTTGATACTTTGGGCTTCCTTAAAGCAGCGATTAAACTTGCCCTTCTTCCAAAATGGAGGTGACATCCTGTAAAATCCCTGAAGCTTTTCAGAGAATACTTTAAATAGTTTCACCTTTTAGTAAAAAGAAATGACATTAACAATGAACTAAATCCCTAATCTAGCTAATGTAGACATCAGGAAATTACAGGCTTTCTCTCCTTTTTAGAAATGCAGCCCTGTGGTGATGGTGACGAAGAAGAGGTCATCACAAGCCTTTCACTTTTCTGATCCCAATTTATTTTACTCTTCCACAGATAAAGCCAGAAACCTCCCGATACAACTACTAATACTAATACCAATTTGTCGGCTCACCTGAAGTGGCAGCAATCATTGTTGAGAGCTCATATAATTACCCATCTGGTGCTTTACTAAATTCATTTTAGCAATCAATTCTACTTTGTGCTTAATCACTAACTGTCATTTTGTCTGCAACAATTAATGCCTCTGCACACTCACAGTCCACCCACACAGATGTTCTTGTTTAAAGTGGCCAATATTTTTATAGTAATGTAGTCCTCATTCCTCATTTCTCCTGGGGTAGCGTTGCCCAGTCTCTGTGGGCTGTGCTTGAACATTGGACTACAGTTTCACTTAAAAATATCTTTAATGATAAACATTAACAAAGCGGGACAGTGTGCATGATACACAGTATATGTGGAAAATGATGAAGTGCTGCACTGCTAATGTACCGATAATGAAATACTTTAATATGCAATGAATTCAATTCTGTAGTCATTAAGTCATAACCCTGCACAACTTAATATTGAGCATAACATGCTAAAAGCTAAAGTTTATCAAATGCTAGTTTGAAGACAATGTAACAGTTTAAAAGGATTAAAGGTTGATGGAGCACTTCAGTGGGTTTATTTTAAGTTAAGAGTGTTTACATTTGAAAAGTCTTTCACTGACTTGACTTATTCTTTTGTTATTCAGCGCTGTGTGCATTATATTTTAACCTAGCTGTGACTCTTTGCATGCTTTATCTGTCAGTTCACGCCCCTGAGAAATAATGTTTCCCACTCCTGGTCTAAAGTCATCAGTGGCACCAAAGCAGCATTTAGCAGCATGTTTGGATGTTAGCAAGTAAACAAACTGAATACTTATTATTAATTATGAACACTTTAAAGCAAGTGTTCATAATTTTTATGAACACAGTCACAGTATCTGAGGACACCAGATGCAAGCATTCGTGATAAAAACTGACTTAACTTCAATTGATTTGATTAACGATACCGTTCTACAGCATTTCCTCTTTTTTTTTGCATTGTCTTCACTGACAGACAGACAGAAAGAAAGAAAAACAAACCCTAAAAAACTCAGTTGTCATGGTTACATCAGATCTCCTTCCTCTTGACCATCTGCACACGGATCAAGTATATATAAACTTAAAAGCGGGATTTATGACAGAAATTGGGCGAGAACATTTTTGAGTACAACTCACATCAGGTTTTATTTTCTCTTTTACAATCCCACTTAGTATCACAATACAAGCTTCAATCAGCTAGAGTTATCGAGGACAGCAGTAGACCTGTATATGATTGATACTTTTCACAAAAGGTCATTGGAAAGGTCCATCCATCTTCCTCTGCTTATCTGGGGCCGAGTTGTGGGAGCAGCAGCCTAAGCAGAGAAGCCCAGACCTCCCTCTCCTCCACCTCCTGCAGCTTGTCAACACCAAGGCTTTCCTAGGACAGTGCGAGCTGAAGGCATTCACCCAATGAATCCAACAGAACCACAGCATCCACAATAAGCAGAGACGATTCTGAGTCCGCCCAAGTGGAAGCCTTCCACCACTTGGATAGGCCTAGAAACTCTGTCCATAAAAATTATGAACAGAACAGAAGAAAGAAAATGTAGCCAACTTAACCGGTATTTGTACACATATAACTAGTCCTCTAAACAACTTCAGACATCTGAGAATGAAATCAGATGGTGGCGCTGGTTTATTTGATAGCTATTAACTGTAGTAGTAAGCTAAATGTTAAGCCACTTCATAACATTCATATGAAGAAAGGTATTAATTTAACTTTATCTTTTAGTTTTGGGTTGCCCCAAAGTAATTGTCTTTTATTGAAAACTGTTCCAAATATTAGAAAAAATGATCACAAGTATGTTTTCATGCTCTGAGCAGTTTGTGACTTCACCAGCAGAAACAAGAAGAATGTGGAGTTGTCAGCATCAAAGCCCAGACAGAAAGACATCCTGGTCTTTGAAGATAGTTACATAAGCTTTAGTATCTATTTCAAACTTCTACTTAATCAACATCTTTCAACCTTCAGTCTGGGCTTCCTGTTATTTTTCAGCATTTAGGATATGGGTACTTCAAGGAGATTACTTTCTCAGGGTGAGATGTGGCTTTTACGAAAGAAAATGATGGTGTTTTGTATTTATTAGATCTTACAGAGGTGAGTGTCAGAAAAAGAGGCGTACCAAAGAAAAGATCATGGAGCAGGAATACACAGGAATACCATTTTTCCAATGTAATGTCAAATATTTGGTCTTTCACAACTTAAATTATTAACCAAAAACCCCTTTATGCATCATTTAAAGTGCTGTAAGTAAGTGTTGAGGTTCAGGGTGGAAAAGCAAAGTGAAACAAAAAAACTGTCCAGAAAAGGGAGCAGTTTGGTAAATACTGATTTATAAAATGTTAATAAATTCTGTAAATAAATTATTTACTTCAAAATGAAATCATCATGCTTAACGTAATAGTTAGTATGAATTCTATGATGTGTGACTCAATCTGTTTATCTGCAAAAGCCTTTCTGGGTTCGTATTTGAATGCTACAAGGAACTCGATCCAGTTTACAGAAAACTGTTGGACGACTGACACAAAGGTTCTGTTTATTTGGCTTTTTTAACTAATTATTTAATGTCCTGAAAGGATATAAGAATTACATTACGAAAGCGCTTCTTTTCCTCTGCGGAGAATGGTTTGGAAATTTGTGTGGGTGCAAAAGAGAAACAGATTTGATATAAATGCATTTGCTCCACATCTGCACTGCTTCATGCCATCATTTATTTGCTATTTTTTTGGGGGGGGGCCTGCTGAAAGCGCACGTAGAAGCGACATCTGATACAGTGTGTGCAAATGAGCATGCTTATACATAGTCTCTGCTAAAGCACTTACACAAATGTTGACCCGTGCCATCAACAATTAGTGGTCCCCGTTCCGGGCAGTTGAAATGAGGATACTGTTTCACTGCCTTTGGTGAGAAGAAAAGAAACTGAATCCAAGAATCACAAGAGCACAAAACCTGAGCAGTGCGGGCAATTCCCATTTACACATAAATGCACATAGAAACAAGCAAAAAACACATGCAATACACACTTATTATGATTAATAACATGCCTATTAGGTACTCTTTTGAGAGTAATTTACTCATTAAATACAGAGGGGTGCACTTTTCCCTAATGTCTTGCCCTATTGAAGTTGAAGATTGCATAAACCTTTCCAAACTGGTATAAAGTAGCAGATTTATGACCTGTGGATGTTGTTCTATTTCAGCAGCCTAAATGAACCATCTACTAAATCATGCTAGAATAAGCTACCTTTCATCAGAATTTCCCATGCATGCTGCTGGCTCAGAGACACAACTTACTTAAGCTACAGATGGTTTTCAAATAGTCGGCTAGTGCAGCAGCAACAACAGATATTTAAAGAGCCCATTTGCAGTGATTCAAAGTTTTAGCAGATTTTTTTGTGTGAATCACAGTAACCTGAAGAAAGCCAGATAAATTAAAAATCATGGTAAAATACCTCAAATCTGAATCACTTAACCCTGTACCATCATCTGGTAAAGCTCTAACCCAACATTAATATATACTCAGCGATATTTAAGATGACTTATTGATCTTAAACTGAAGTATGATGTAGTGTGTTGAACTGACACAATTTGTTACATCTGTTAGCCCAAGGACAGGACCATTTACAAGGTGTGATCAGAAATGTGCATCCCGACAAAAATTCCAAAATTTTTGGTTATTTAAATCTGTCCACTCGCCCTTACCACTAGTCTTTGGGCGGCTTTTTAAAAAGTCTCTGTTCTGACGACTTGCACATGAACCTCTGCAAAGTACTCTGGATTTTCTAAAATATGTCATAGCAGCAACCTTTACATTTTCAGGTATCCAAGAAACATTTAGCTTGATGAGGCCCAAAAAACATATGCGTGGTATCACACACTGTAGTCCAGAAAATTTGCGTGTTCACAGTTTGACCCTAGGGGTCAAATTCACTTTGCAGAGCCATGTGAAAGTAGGAAAAAACAGCAAAGGCGCTCCTGGCGGTGCTGTTTGTAGTGAAATTGTGGAATCATGACTCCTGGTCAAAGTCAAAAGGACCTCATGAATGTGCCTAGGTTTCTGAGACAGGGAGCTGTCTTTGAATCTGAACAGCGAAAGTTGTCTCCTATAATAAACTGAGACGTAAAGATTAAATAAATCAGTGTGAATAATACACTTACAGGGGAGGATAGCAGAGATAATGTCTGTGTATAATGTCAGCACTGTGCACATAAATGAACCTGGACTGTATGGTGGTGCCGTGGTGGCATATTCTCCGTCTGCCAGCATCTCCAAGATGTGTTAGGCAATTGATGATTCTAATTTGGCTGTAGGTGAAGAGGGAAGATAAATGATGTTCTGTATGAACAGGTAAAGCATTTAGAGCAGTCAGTATGGCTAGAGGATTGCTCTACAAATTGCAAAACCTGTTTTCATTTACACTATTTTTTTCTGGTGCCTGCTATGTTGTAATACCCTCGACAGGCTTTAATGTGACAAGCACTTGTTTTTTAAACCAAACAAATTTACAACAGTTTGTCATGTAAATCTTCAGCTTGTATCCAGCACAAAATAGCCATATTTTTAAATAACAACACTCAAGGCAACTGTGAGAAAAACACCAGGACATTCATTCTCTGTGATTCACAACCACATTTGCTGCGTCAGTACGTCTGCCTGTGATTAATAAATATGTTTAAATATTTATGGCACACTGTGCAGCTGTGCTTGAGTTACGAGACGTTGAAACTTTAAAACAAATCAGGATATAAACAGGTTTAAGCTATCAACACTGTTTCAGAGCAACATTTATTTAAAGGAAAACCCACAGACAGAGATTCAGTAATTTGATTCCTGGAAAGCGAAGCAGTTCAGCAGTGAGTATCTGGTAAAGCTTTTGAAGTCGAATAAACATGTTTGTAGTGATTAATGGTGCAATCAAACGACGAGGGGTCATTCCACTCAGCATGTAATAGGTGATCACAGGGGCTAATTATTATTTTAAAAAACAACAGAGAAACGTACTTATATTAGGTGACTTAAGAA